TTCAGTGTATATTTATTGTAAATAAAATTTTTCTCCTCGTGTATAATTAAAATGATTAAGATCAGAAAATTTGGAATTTAGAATTCTTTTGATAATCACCGGGTTTCACATAAAGATGATACATATTTTGAATTTTTGTGAAAAGAGGGTTCGAAACGGTGTGGATTAAAATTGGTGATGTATCCGATTACGGTTATTTGCAAAGTAATTGGAGAAGATGATTTTGTTTCCGTCGCACGTGAGACGAGGAATATATAATTGAGAAGGGTAGAGAATATTAACATTCATTGAATATTGAAACCTTTGGATCACGTGCCTTTTTGGGGAAACAATATCTACAACTATTGATTGTTCTCTCTATTACCGATATTATTACATTCAAAATTGGAAATTGTAATTAATTAATTAAATTAATTTCTTTTGTATTTTCTCTTTTGTCTATTTATTTTATTTAATAATATTTTTTTCTTATTCATTTAATTTATTTATTATTATTTTATTAGGTACTTTTATATCAAATTTTATTTACTCAATGCCTGTATATGAATAAATAAATATTTTTTTAAAAACACAAGAAAAATTATAAATATAATTATTTATATTACTTTAATTTCTCTTGGAAATAAATAAGTAAATAATTAATCGTATAATTGTTGGGCCAATGAGAGTTTCAAATTTTTAATATTAATTTTAAGAGTGGGGTCAATTTGGAGTTAAAAAATACATCTGAATTGAGTAATTAAGATATAACGAATCAAATAATTTTAATAACGAGTCAATTTTCTAAAAAATTAATATTCGCTTAATTTTCCACACTTTTAATCATTACTATATTTATATATTTTTTAAGTGATCGACAAAAAAATAAAAGAAAGAATAGAAAAAAAAAATAAAAGTGGAAAATGATTAAAGAGGAGAAAGACTTTTATTGCCGAATGGACGAGTATCGAGGCACACAATGCGAATAAATGATTGAAGAGAAGAGTAATGAAACCTCTCGGAATATCGCCGATACGCGTCGCGATTCAAATGAATCAAATGACTCCCTCTCATCTCCCCCCCCCCCTTCGCAATATATAAATCACAAAAGAATACTTTTTTTTTTTGCCTCCCAACCTGCGATCGCTAAAAATTCCATTTCGTCTATAATACATACGTCAAGGAAAAGCATAGGTATTGATCTGTCGTGGCAGGTGGAATTTGAAAGAACCCCCTTCTCTCACCCCTTATTTAAAAAAAAAAAAAAAAAAAAAAAAAAAAAAAAAAAATTTGAACGATTTTATACCCCAACGGGTAATAATAGGTATATTCATTGTGTCAAGATGACAGTACCACCTGGTGGTCAACGAATGAAAAATTGTACCTCCTGTAGTGGCAATTATTTTTTGTCCGTATATTTATATAAAAGCATTCGTTGCTTCACAAGTATAATAAAATAAATATATATATTTATATATATATATATAAATTTTTTTTATTGTATTCTTGTGAAGCACAAGCAACGAATGCTTTTTGAAATTTTCTTGACAAGTCTTTGGTAAACAGTTCCCACTTCCGGAAGTCGTTGACTGTGGCACGGTGTCGCTTCCGGAAAGCTTTTATATAGCTGCAAGACAAAATTTTTGAGCGGATACTAAAGAAGAATCAGAGAAAGAAAGTGGAAAATAATAGGGCGAAATGAAAGAATGGTAACCGCAAGGAGAATGCGGTTTTTTTTCACTAACGTAAAATGTGTCATAAACGACAAGTGGATGACGAGACAAGTATTGAATTTGTCATTTTTCCCCCCTATTTTTCCTATTATTGAAAATTTCTTTTTTTTATACAATTATATTATAATTATTACTGCAAAATAATAATAGTTAATAGTTATAATTTAAAATCTTCTAAAATTATTTTAATTTGTCAATATATATTTAATTAATTATTAAAAATAATGGATTTATAGAAGAATTTTAGTAACACTGAAAAAAATTGAATTTTAAAGAAATTACAAATGATTGTAGAAATTCAATTATTTTGAAAAGTAATAAAATTCTTATCATAAAATTCAATTATGTTCAAAAATTAACAAAAAATCTCTCGACAAAATCCTAATTATTATCTTTATAAATAAAAAAATTCTTCAAAATTCAATTATTTTCAAAAATTTTAATACAATTCTTGTCAAAATTTAATATTATTATAGGATACTTTTTTTCAGACTTGTAACACTAAAAGATACCTACTATATTTAAGAATTTGCACGACTTTAAAATTTAAATTTGCTAATAGTTGTAATAAAAAGATTATTCTCAAAAATTTTAATAAAATTCTTTCAAACGATTTAATTTTTAATTATTTTTAAAAATTTTCGAAATTCCATTATTTTTAATATTTAGTATTTTAATAAACAATTAACCAAAAATATTCAATCATTAAAAAAAATTTGTTATTAAATTCTTTGCAAACATTCAATTATTTTCATAAAAAATAAAATTTTCAAGGGAATATAATATTATTTAAAATATTATTTTCATAAAATTTCTTGAAAAGAATCAATTATTTAAAAATATTTTTATAAAATTTTTCGCAAGAATTCAATCATTTAAAAAAAATTTAATAGAGTTTTTGGCGAGAATTCAATAATTTTCATTAAAAAAAAAAAAAATCCTTCTCAGCAATTCAATTAATTTTAAATACAATTCGTTGAAAGAATTTAATTATTTTCAGAAATAATAAAACTCATCGCAGAATTTTAATTATTTTTAATACAATTTTAATCAAATTCATTAAAAATAAATGTAACTAAAAAAATTTTATTAGAATTCGTCAAAAGAATTAAATTATTTAAAAATTTGTTAATAAAATTCTTTATAAGAAATAAATTTTAAGAAGCATTCAATTATTCAAGAAATAATTTTAAAATTATTAAATTATTAAAATTATTATTTAATTATTTATTTAATAATTAAAATTATTAAAATTATTCAAATTTTATTAAAATTCCTCTTTTTTCAAAAGAATTCAATTATTTAAAAATTTGTTAATAAAATTCTTTAAAAGAAATAAATTTTAAGAAACATTTAATTATTAAAGAAATAATTTACATTTGTATTTAAATAATTGAATTCTCGTAGAATTTTCTAATAAAAATTGATTTGAAAATGAATTTTCGGTAAAATTTTAGATAATAATTGAATATGAAAATAATTTGTAATAATTATAATTATAATAATTATATATTATAATAATAATAATTATATTTATAATTTTTTTTCTAATATTTTTTATAAATAAATAAAAATAAAATTTTATTGCTCAATAATTTTATTAAATTGGTAATTTTATTATTTTGTACAAATAAAAATAAAAATATACAAAATTATAAAAAATATACCACAGTTTTCACTACATTAGAGAAATTTTTAGAATTTTTAGGGACTTCAATTAAGACTTTTGGTATTTTAGAGAAACTTATCGCTGTTTTAGATAAAGCTTTTTTTTCTTTATATTAGAAAGAATATTAATAATGTTATAGTTATTTTTAGTGTAAAAAAATAAATAACTTTTCATTGACAGAAATTGAGAAAAAATATAATTTTTTGCTTTAATTAATAAAATTAAATTTAGTTAATGGTCTTTTAATTTTTTTTATTAATTGTTTGAAAACTACAATTAATAATATTATTTCAAAAAGCTGTCATTTACCATTTTGTCAATAATTTGTCAATAATTTCGTATACAATAATTACTACACTAATTGAGGCTATTACGAATTGTAGTCACTAATCTTTGTATATATATACAGTTGAGAATAATCACTTTGTTTCTAATTATATCAACAAGGGAGTAAAAGTTTTATTTCCCCTCTTAAAGTTTCGTTCTCATTTTATATATCTATATAACAATTTATTGATTTTGGCACAGGATCTTTGCCCCCTCGGCCACGACACATACATTTTTAAATACTTTCCTTGAAATTGTTAAGCTCAATTCAATATTCCACGAGTTTGTAATTGGAATTAGCAATGGGAGGAAAAAAAGAGAGAAATGGAGAGAGAGAGAGAGAGAAAAAAATAAGAAAAGAAGAAGAGAGAGAAAGAGAAAAATAGAGTCATTAATGAGGTCTGAAGAAAGGTGGTCGCATTATATTGTAAAGCATCATTATCGATTTAAATGTCATGCCTATTAGAGAGTAATCAATGGATCTATTTATGCAAAACTTGTCGTTATCTAGTTTATAACAAATAAAGCAGGTCAGGTGTTAAATGCAAACAAGTAATTTATAAACGTATCGATATATTTTGAATTATTATATTGTGTATTTTAAAAATAAAATTATTAAATTAATTTTTAAAATTAAACAAATCTCAAATTATATTATTAAATTTTGTGAAATAAGCTAGTATGCAGTTTTAATAAATTTATTCTTTTTTTTATTAAAATATATAACTTTTAATTATATGCAGTTTAAATTTATTTAGAATTTAGTCTAAATTTTATAATTTAATTTTTAAAATAAGCTTATTTTGCAGTTTAACGGTATTCAGTTTAATTAAATTTTTTAATTAATATTTGTAATTTTAAATTATATTTAAAATTTACAAAAGAAAAACGTAAAAAAAAAGGAAAATTTATATAGAATTTAGTATAAATTTTATAATTTAATTTTTAAAATAAGCTTATTTTGCAGTTTAACGGTATTCAGTTTAATTAAATTTTTTAATTAATATTTGTAATATTAAATTATATTTAAATGTATTTAATTTTTAATATGAAAATAGTTTAATTTTTAAACGTGTGCAATTTGTCAGTCTGCAATTCAAAATTTGTATAGTTTTTAAATTAAATTTAATAATTTTATTTTCAAACTGAATCATTTTGAGTTTAAAGTCAACTCCAAGAGTTGTTAAAGATTAAATTTAGGAGTGAAACAAAAAGAGTTAATTGTATTTATATTTGTCATTAATATTCAATTACAAGATTAAAATAAAATTTTTTAATTCCTTTTTTTTCAGGTTCCTTGGGTACGTCGGTGTTTGATACAGACGTTTATCTCGTGGGCGCCAGCGGTGGGGTTTATGCACTCCTTGCAGCACATCTTGCCAATGTTCTCCTTAACTATAACAACATGGAGTTTGGCATAGTTCGCCTCATCGGCATCTTCATTATCGGTAAGTAAACACAGCCTCCAGCGTTGTTTGTATGTACCATAGATACTTCACATCCTTTCCTCCCCCCCCCCCCTCCTCACCATATATACTCATAATAACTACTTTAGTCTTATATGTGCATTATGCACTTATGACATTGTAATATCGGCGAAAATACACACCACACGCTTAATAAAATATATTTACATTAATTACACCTAGAACCAAAAAAGCCAACCTAAAATAGCAAAAAGAAAAAAAAACAATTTACTTTCGAAAAAATAGTGCCGAAAACATTGTCTATCCAAAGCCATTGTTTCTTTCTATTGCAAAATTTTATTGAAGCTTTTCTTTGTATTTTTTTTAAGTAACAATAAATAGAATTATAATTAAAAATAGTAAAAATAAAATTATTTCAGAGAATTATTTTTAATTTTGTAATATTAAAACGGAGCTTTTATTAAATTTTCAATTAATACAGGGACAAATAAAATAATAATAATAATAATCGTAATAATAACAAAAATAATAATAACAGACCTCGGATATTAAAACATTTTCGACTATTTTCAAAAAATGCGACTTTTTTCGACTTTTCTTCCGAATATAGCAATAATTTTTAGTATAAAATGCAAATTATTTTCGAAATTTACAATTGAAAAAAAATTTCAATAAATATTGAAATTTTGTAAAATTTAATTAAAAATAATTGGTTTTTTTTAAAGTGTTTTTTAAAAATTTTTGAAAATCAACATTTGAAGAATTTTAATTGCAAATTTTGAAAATAATTAAAATTAAATTCCTTGGAAGAATTTAATTTTTAAAACAATTTTTAATATATTTCGAATAAATTCAATTATTTTCTAAAATCTTAATAAATTCTTCGAAACAATTCAATTATTTTTATAAATGCGGTAAAATTCTTCGCAAGAATTCAATTATTTTTATAAATAGTAAAATTCTTTGCAGGAATTCAATTATTTTCAAAACATCTTTAATTGAATTTCTCGGAAGAATTCAAATATTTTCGTAAAATTCAATTATTTCCTAAAATTTTTAATAATTTCTTCGAAACAATTTAACTATTTTTATAATTGACAAAATAAATTTTTAAAATTTACAATAAAACAGAGATTCAATAATTGAAATTTTGTAAAATTTAATTTGAAAATAATTGATTTTTTTCAAAGTGTTTGTTAAAAATTTTTGAAAATAAACTTTAAAAGAATTTTAATTGCTAATTTTGAAAATAATTGACTTCTCAAAAATTTTTATTGAAAAATCTTCAAGTGTAAATTTAAAAATAGTAATTAATGAAAATTAGCTACAAAAAAATTATATAAAAATATTTTTGATAAAAATAATTCTTAGAATTTTTGCATTCTATTTTTTTAAAATTCAATTATTTTCAATATTTTTTAATACAAATTTCCAAAAATTCAAATACATTGAAAAAATAATAACATTAAAATTTTTTACAATTATTTTTAACATTTTAACAACGTATGACTTTTTTAGATTTATTAAAATTTTGGAGAAATCGCGTTTATATTAATAATTAAAATTCTTTAAAAATCCAATTATTTTTTCAATAGAATTTGCCAAATTTCGATTGTTTGGAAATTTTTCAATTCTATATAATTCAGAAACTATTATCTTTCATAAATTATTTTTAAAATATTTTTGAAAAATTAATTTTAAGAATTTCTTTATTATCATTTTTTAAAATTCATTAATATCTTAAAAAACATGGGACAGTTAGAATCATTATAAAGAACTGAATTTGATTAAAAATTGTAGAAAATAATTGAATTTTAAAAGAATTAAAGTTGTAATTATTAGAAATTATTAAATTTCAGAAGGTTTTAAATAGAAATCTTTTAAATTTTATTCCCGTATAAAAATAGACAAGAAGTATTTAAAATTTATTTAACGAAATTATTCAAGTTTTAAATAATTAAATTTAGAAATCAGTGAAAGATCAGAAGAATAAAAAATTAAATTTTTGTGATGGCGCTGAATTAAATAAACGACTTTTTCGACTTTTTTCTATTTTAAATCGACTAAAGAGACTTTTTTTGCACCTTAAAATCGATCCGAGGCCTGTAATAATTAACTTCTTCCTTTAAAATATAAAAAATAATAATAATAATAATACTTAACATAAATGCAAATAATATAAATAATTGCTGAAAAATAATTTTTAATTTTGAAATTTTACAACGACGTCTAAACAAAGAAAAAAATTACTCAATCGTAATCAATTTGAAATATTCTTTAAATTCCGACGTTTATTCTCCTTTAAACCTAATGCAATAATGTTTCGCGAAAATAAACGAATGCATTTTCATTAACATTGAAGTATTTTCCTTTCGAGCCTTCGCGCAATTCCATTAAAATTCTGTTAAAACGCATATATGAAGGTAATTTGTGCTATTCAACATCAGGAAATCAATAATAATTATTTATATATACGTAATATAGTTTCATAAAAGGAATATTTAAACACTTTGTTGAAGCAAAAATCTACATAAATAAATAAAAAAAAAAAAAAAAAATAGAATTTTGTTGCACGAAATTGAAATTGTTTGTTGATTATAGTAATGAAAGAAGAAGAAGATGAGAAAAAAATGTTTTTGTAAAAATATTCATTCGCTTTTGTCGATATACTTTAGTAATATAAATAGAGTTATGTGTATTAATTTTCCTTTCCTTGAATTTGCATTCTAATCAAGAATTTTTTTTTAACACTCATTCCTTTCTCTATCCTTTATTTTTTCTTTTTCGCCAAGGCAAAAGGCAAGAATCCATCATAAACTTTCATTCTGGGCATATTGCTTTGTGAAGTGTTTCATTGCCGGTTCCCTCGACTCAATAAAGTAATAAACTTTTTATTAACAATGTAAATTACGTACAATTTTTTTAGAGAGAGAAAATGGGAAAAATATACTTCTTGTTTTTTTAATTTATCGTCATTATATGCTTATTTGAGATAATACAGTATACACTCTAATCTAATTATTAGTGTAAAAGGAATCATTAAAAACTTTTTTTTTTATTTTTATACATTCAATTTTAATTTTAATTTACTTTTTATTTTGTTTGCTTATATTTTCTATAATCATTTTTAAGTTTGAAAATTCTTCACAAAAATGATTTTTATTTTTAATTTTGGAAGTTTCGGTATTTTTTTCGGTAAATAAATAAACATTATTTTTGGTAAAAATAAATTTTTTTTTGTAAAAATAAAGCTTTTTTGGTAAAAATAAAGCTTTTTTGGTAAATAAATAAATTAACAAATTTTAAACAATAGACATGTAAGTGATGAAAGGGGAAACCGTATAGGGCTTAACTTTTTAGGGAATATAACGAGTTACAAGTTGATAAAGTGCATCACAGTGTTTTATTAATGCTTGAAGCATCTCCAGAAAAACGGAAAATTTATGCAAAAAGTTTGAAATTCTAAAGCTATTGGAAATCAAGGCATGTTTAGTAATAAATCAATTTACAGGATTATAAAGTTCATCCATATTTAACGTTATTAGTGTTTTGAATATATTTATCGCGTTCGGTGTAAAATACTTTTCGCGATAATTAATTTCATGAAGTTTGAGATTTTTTTTTTAATTGTTAAACTTAAAATTCAATGAAAAAATACGTGAAATTAAAAATTAAACGATTTTAATTATTTAATTTAATTAGTATATTATTAGATATTAATTATTATTATTATTATTATTATTATAATTAATAAATAAAGTAAAGTAAAATAAAATAAAATTGAATATTATTTTTATTATAATAATTATTATCGTCATTATTTTGTACGACTAAAACTTACTTTCACTACTGTCATAAATTTTCAATGAATTTTAATCACTTTGTCTGACTAAAATGTACTTTTTCTACTTATGTCCGTTTTTGTAGATTTTTGTCACTTTGTCGGATTAAAATTTACCGAAACTACTGATAAATTTTTTTTTAGAATTTTTACTAGTTTGTCTGACTAAAACTTGTATTTACTACTGATTTCTGTTTTACTCGAAATTTAATAATTATGTCTAACTAAAACATACTTTTACTACTGATTTCAGTTTTTTTTAATGTGTATAACTTTAGCTGACAAAAATGTACTTAATCTACTGATAACACATTTTGTAGAATTTTTACTAGTTTGTCTGACTAAAACTTGACTTTTCTACTGATTTACGTTTTACTCGAAATTTAATCATTATGTCTGACTAAAACTTATTGTTACTACTGGTATGAATTTTTCCCTAATTTCAGTAGGTTATGTCTGACTAAAGTGTACTTTTTCTACTAATACAATGATTTTCCATTTTTCCTGGAATTTAATCACTTTCGTCTGACTAAAATTTACTTTTTCTACTTAGAAATAAAATTCTACAGAATCTCTCTATTGACTTGTCTGGCGAAAATCTATTTTTACTACTAATACAATAAATCACTGAAAAGTTGAATTATGTTTGTAAAAACTAAGAAATCAATACTACTATTATTATTAGAATTCTTATTATAGAATTATTTTTTTTTATTAAATTAAAAAATTATTTAAAATAATATCAATCAAATGGTTGGAATAGTTTAATTACTACTTTGAATTATACTTTTATTTTTATTAACCTTTTTTTTTCTTATTCGTCGAAATAATTTCCCTGGTTTATTTTAACTGCAACAATTATTTAAAAAAAGCAGATTCTATTTTTGAGTAGTAGACTTTCGTTTTAGTTAAACCTGTTGTTGGGGTGAGTCAACTCTTTCAAATATTTACTCGTCAATTAGCGTTAATATTGCAAAGACTTGTCAATGCGAATGAATTTTTCAATTTCCGCTTTTCACAACAAACTTCCATTCTGTTTATATTGCTTCAATGTAAATTTTTTACACATACGTATACATTTTTTTCTGTATATATTTATATTTTCCTTTTTGATGCTCTAAAAAGTACATAGAAGTACATTTCTTTATTTATAAATAATTAATTTTTGCTCACTTTACTT